AACATAATTGGCGTCCAGTACTCTTTAGGATCGGATCACATAACCCAACTGCAGACATTTGTTTAAGGAGCCTCGACGCCAGTTTACACAATACACCGAGAGGCAGTGTTTGGGACAACCACATAGGGTCGGCGTCAATAGTCCAGGATCTTTCGGGCTGCTACCGAACTAGAAGTCTAGCGCCTCCGTCAGGTATCCTGGAACGCTATATCCCATTATTTCAAATTTACCTACGCTCGGTGGACGGGATTCAGACTGAGAGGCGTTCAGTCCTAATCCACGGCCTTGTGACCATGAACACGTAACATTATTCTGAACCATGCAACGCACAGTATCCTAAGTGTTCGGAACGCCTATTAGTCGCTGCGCTGTAAACAGCACCACGTTTTCTGGCAGAACCATGAACAGAGAGCCTCCACCACAACCCCCAGAAGGCTCCATTTATGCGCGTCAACTAATATACCTATTCAATTAGATAACGAGGCATCTGGCTAACTTAAGGGAGTCATAGTTACTTGAGGACTGATCGAATTTCATAGATCAACTGTGCCATGTTGCGTTACTTATCAAAGTGATATAATATTGCTTTCCATACTTAAGCTTCAAGGTTCACCAGAGTATTAGATGACTTCATGAGTTGATGTCAAAAACATATTGGTTTGGCTTGCCCTAGCTTTCTCATTCCCAAATCAAATAACACTACGAGTTGAAGTAATTGGTAGGTGAACATTTAACATATTTTCCGAACTATCGCAGTAGATTAAAAACTCACAATTTTACCAGTCGATGTTTGCTTAATAATCTGTGTTTAGTCAGTCATTCTATCCGCTACAACACAGAACTTGGTACTTACATACATCAGTTCAATTTACCATATCACATTAGCACAGAGAGATGGAATTGTCAATTCAATTCCATACTAGTAGAATTAGTAGCGGCATTAGTGGTAATCGAAACGATTGAAGATTGAAGATATGATCAAGGTATATAAACCAGTCAGTCAGTCAGTCAGTTGCAACGTAGAACTTCGTACGTATGTACATAAGTTCAGGTTGCCAAACCACATCTGCACAAAGACGCAAATGTCAATCAAATTCCATAAGGATCAAGACAGTAAAGGTATTCATGGTAATGAAGATGAGGGTTTGAAGATAATATTCAAGCAGTTTAATAAATCAGTGAGATAAAGTTAGAAAGACAAAGGTTAGAAGTGCTGACGATTCAGAAGATTAGGATTCGAGAGAGCACAACGAATGGATGCACTTGCGACATTGCAAAACGATTTTTAGATCATGTCGTTCAAGTGTCTAACCATTGATGACTTTCGTCTCGCGGACCCCAACCAGATAGTCTACATCTACCAACATGACTCAGTCCACTAGTCAGTGACTTCATGGATTTGTGCCACTGTGGAGGCTTCTTCGACACTACGGTGTGCCTGAGAAAATAGTCAACATCATACGGAATTCTTATGATGGATTCAACTGCAAAATCGTGCACGGAGGACAGCTAACAGACTCTTTCGAGGTGAAGACCGGTGTCAGGCAAGGTTGCTTACTCTCACCCTTTCTCTTTCTCCTGGTCATCGACTGGATTATGAAGACGTCAACATCTGGAGGGAAGCACGGTATCAACTGGACAGTTAGGACGCAGCTGGACGATCTGGACTTCGCAGATGACCTGGCTCTTCTATCGCACACTCAACAACAAATGCAAGAGAAGACGACCAGTGTAGCAGCAGCCTCTGCAGCAGTAGGTCTCAACATACATAAAGGAAAAAGCAAAATTCTCCGATGCAACACAACATGCACCAACCAAATCACTCTTGATGGAGATGCCTTGGAGGACGTTAACACCTTTACATATCTGGGCAGCATCATCGACGAGAAAGGTGGATCCGATGCAGATGTGAGGGCGCGGATTGGCAAAGCAAGGGCTGCATTTCTACAGTTGAAAAATATCTGGAACTCCAAACAACTTTCAACCAAAACCAAAATAAGGATTTTCAATACAAATGTCAAGACAGTTCTACTGTATGGAGCGGAAACATGGAGAACTACCAAAGCCATCATCCAGAAGATACAAGTGTTTATTAACAGTTGTCTACGCAAAATACTTCGGATTCGTTGGCCAGACACCATCAGCAACAACGAACTGTGGGAGAGAACAAACCAGATTCCAGTGGAGGAGGAAATCAGGAAGAAGCGGTGGAAGTGGATAGGACACACACTACGAAAAGCACCTAACTGCGTCACGAGACAAGCCCTCACATGGAACCTCAAGGAAAAATGAAAGAGGAGGTCAAGGAACAATCTCTGAGAAATAGAGAAGATATGCGAGGACCTCTTACGACCTTAAGATAACCCTACAAATATCGAATGTGGTCACATCGCTAGCGTGTATTTCTATTCAAGAACTTTATCACTCCTTTTCTCGAGTCCTTCTTTTCACATGAGCGCTCTAGCAACACTACCAAAGTTGAGGTCGATCGCTCAATACAAATGAGACAGTTGTCACATTCGATCTGACACATTGCTACTCACATGCTATGATAAAAGTAAATAAGTCAGAGCAGTATTGTGTAGTGTTAAACAATGTAACGCAGTATAACTCTCAGATACCTAATTTAGACAATATTGCCGCTAAAGAAGTAAAATGCCATAGAACACAACGGCTCAAATTGAGCATGTAAACTGAGATGATGATTGCACGTAGAAAGACACTGAAATATGTATTGTTGTTTTGCGGTCAGATTTCGTTATCCATGTGTGTGGCGGCGCAGTTTTATCAGTCTGAGTCCAGGGTTTACCAATGATGGCATCGATTGTTGCCCACTGGTGTGTTCGTCAGAAAGTTCTAAGAAAACAAGTCGATGGATGAGAATACCCCAGTAAAACATGTATTATATAACAACAAGGATATTACAAGTGTGTGTCACCGAGGTCATGTTGTACTGCACACGTGGCACGCGATCCGGCGACTCAGCGATTGAAAAAACACCTGCTCATCACTTCGCAAGCGTCACGTTGGGGTTGCACGAACCCACGGACATGTCAGCGCCCGGGAGCTGCCATGTGTAATATTCTTATGTATTTTTACATGTTTGGGTTATTCATAAAATTTTTTTTAACTTTCTGAAAAGTGAGATGAATGTCTTTCATTATATCCCTTAGAACTAACTGATCAACAGCACAGCCTAGATTGATTACAGGAAGTTGGAACAGTCAAGCACAGGGACTATTTCTTTGTCTTCTCTATAATTCTAATTTACTGAACTCCCTATGACCTTTATTCGCTCATTTTTTTTAAAAATTTATTTCACTGGTTTATATACCTTGTGTTACATATGGCTAACCACCGAATGACTCGACGAGTTATGTTTTGTGGTGTAGGAGTAGGTTGGAAGAAAGTTAGGGGCGGCCAGACCAAACTTACTTACTTACTTACGCCTGTTACCCCCAATGGAGCATAGGGCGCCAACCAACTCTGTCCTGGGCTTCCCTTTCCAATTCTGTCCAATGTTTGTTCATTCCTCTCATATCTTTCTCTATTTCTCAGCGTAATGTGTTCCTTGACCTTCCTCTTTTCATTTTACCTTGAGGGTTCCATGTGAGGGCTTGTGTCGTGACGCAATTAGGTGCTTTCCACAATGTGTGTCCTATCCGCTTCCACCACCTCTTCTTGATTTCCTCCTCCACTAGAATCTGGTTTGTTTTCTCCCACAGTACGTTGTTGCTGATGGTGTCTGGCCAACGAATCCGAAGTATTTTGTGTAGACAACTGTTAATAAACACTTGTATCCTCTGGATGATGGCTTTGGTAGTTCTCCATGTTTCCACTCCATACAGTAGAACTGTCTTGACATTTGTATTGAAAATCCTTATTTTGGTTTTGGTTGAAAGTTGTTTGGAGTTCCAGATATTTTTCAACTGTAGAAATGCAGCCCTTGCTTTGCCAATCCGCACCCTCACATCTACATCGGATCCACCTAGATTGTCGATGATGCTGCCCATATATGTAAATGTGTTAACGTCCTCCAAAGCATCTCCATCAAGAGTGATTTGGTTGGTGCATGTTGTGTTGCATCGGAGAATTTTGCTTTTTACTTTATGTATGTTGAGGCCTACTGCTGCTACACTGTTCGTCTTCTCTTACATTTGTTGTTGCGTGTGCGATAGAAGAGCCAAGTCATCTGCGAAGTCCGGATCGTCCAGCTTCGTCCTAACTGTCCAGTTGATACCGTGCTTCCCTCCAGATGTTGACGTTTTCATAATCCAGTCGATGACCAGGAGAAAGAGAAAGGGTGAGAGTAAGCAACCTTGCCTCACACCGGTCTTCACCTTCAACGATTCTGTTAGCTGTCCTCCGTGCACGATTTTGCAGTTGAATCCATCATAAGAGTTCCGTATGATGTTAACTATTTTCTCAGGCACACCGTAGTGTCGAAGAAGCCTCCACAGTGGCACAAATCCATGAAGTCACTGACTAGTGGACTGAGTCATGTTGGTAGATGTAGACTATCTGGTTGGGGTCCGCGAGACGAAAGTCATCAATGGTTAGACACTTTGAACGACATGATCTAAAAATCGTTTGCAATGTCGCAAGTGCATCCATTCGTTGTGCTCTCTCGAATCCTAATCTTCTGGAATCGTCAGCACTTCTACCTTTGTCTTTCTAACTTTATCTCACTGAATTATTAAACTGCTTGAATATTATCTTCAAACCCTCATCTTCATTACCATGAATACCTTTACTGTCTTGATCCTTATGGAATTTGATTTGACATTTGCGTCTTTGTGCAGATGTGGTTTGGCAACCTGAACTTATGTACATACGTACGAAGTTCTACGTTGCAACTGACTGACTGACTGACTGGTTTATATACCTTGAATCATATCTTCAATCTTCAATCGTTTCGATTACCACTAATGCCGCTACTAATTCTACTAGTATGGGATTTGAATTGACAATTCCATCTCTCTGTGCTAATGTGATATGGTAAATTGAACTGATGTATGTAAGTACCAAGTTCTGTGTTGTAGCGGATAGAATGACTGACTAAACACAGATTATTAAGCAAACATCGACTGGTAAAATTGTGAGTTTTAATCTACTGCGATAGTTCGGAAAATATGTTAAATGTTCACCTACCAATTACTTCAACTCGTAGTGTTATTTGATTTGGGAATGAGAAAGCTAGGGCAAGCCAAACCAATATGTTTTGGCATCAACTCATGAAGTCATCTTAATACTCTGGTGAACCTTGAAGCTTAAGTATTGAAAGCAATATTATATCACTTTGATAAGTAACGCAACATGGCACAGTTGATCTATGAAATTCGATCAGTCCTCAAGTAACTATGACTCTCTTAAGGTAGCCGAATGCCTCGTCATCTAATTGAATGGGTATATTAGGTGACACGCATCAATGGAGCCTTCTGGGGGTTGTGGTGCCGGCTACCTCTTCGTGGTCCTGCCAGGCAACGTGGCGCTGTTTACAGAGCTGCGGCTAAAAGCCGTTCCGAACGCTTAGGATACCGTGTCTAGCATGGTCCAGAATAATGGTACGTGTTCATGGTCGCAAGGCCGTGGATGCGGTTTTGCCATTCTGGAGGATTAGGACTGAACGCCTCTAAGTCTGAATCCCGTCCACCGAGCGTAGGTAAATTTGAAATATTGGGATATAGCTTTCCAGGATACTTGAAGGCGGCCCTAGACGATTTGTTTGGGGAAGCAGCCGTAAAGATCCTGGACTATTGACGCCGACCCTATGTAGTTGTCCCAAACACTCTGCATCTCGGTGTATTGTATAAACTAGCGTCGAGGCCCCTTAAACAAGGGTGTCCAGTTGGGTTATGTGATCCGGTGCCAAAGGGTACTGGACGCCAATGATGTTTGCCCACTTACGTGGGATTAACCCTGCTTGGCCGTGCTTGTGCTTGGTTGAGTCCATGACATCTTCCCCATGGGGGGATGTACGTTCCGGCTGACCTTGTGGGACAAACTCGATCTTTAGCTCCATGTGGGGTCTGAGGGCTCCGGTAGATTGTATCAGCAGTTGGAGGCCGGACGGTTGTAATGGCTGCTGTTCAGTGCACTGCTAGGTGGCTCGGTAATCCATTCGGGACGCCAGTTCTAGCTAGGAAAGCCCCCCTCGCCGATCGGTGATTATGGGTAGTGGATTGGTTGGAGGGATCTTGTTGATTCATAAGTGCCCGAACGGGGGCCACTGCTCGTGCACGTGCTTTTTGGACGTTCACTTGTCTGCAGACCAATCTAGACAACATGTGCGTTCCCGTATGGGGCAGGGGTGATCGCAATACTGGCTCTTGTGAGAATCCTTGTGTTTCTTAAAACGCAGCGGTGTGCATGTGCAGCAGGCATGCTGGTTAACCAAGAATACCTAGAAACCAGATTATATGGCGCTCTTTCTTACTTACTTACGCCTGTTACCCCCAATGGAGCAAAGGCCGGCCAACCTGTATTCCCTAATCTTCTCTGTCCTGGAGCTCATTAGATAGTTATTGTGAAGATTACTGTTTTACGTCTATGAGGAATCATCAGCAATATTGAAACTACTTTTAAGTAATGCTCAAAAACATTAGAACATGATATTATCAGTTCAAACGTAGATCAAATTGTAAACAATAATAAGAATGTTCATACAGAGCGGTTATAGCTGAGAATGTGAAATAACAAGAATCTAAGGCGGCTTAAACATACCAACTAGTGAGTGGTGACTTGCCGGTACAGAGATACCGGCTCAGTCTTTATTAATAGGTTGGGATCTTGGGTATGAGTGTGATGGTCCAGGATTCGATACCCGCTGGCGGGAATCGTGGATGTGCCCTACTAATAAGTCCTATACTACATTTATTGATATGTTTAATCTATTACGAGTTCACCTTACTCGGTAAACGGAATGAAGATCAACGATGCAGTGACACGACAGGCTATTCTAATCCGATTGTCCCAGTCCCCACTAACTAGAGGAAGAAGTCTTGATAAGACGTAGAGAGAATGTATTTCACAGGCTCCCAGAAAAACGAGGTCCACGAGCACACAACTCAAGGTTATTTATACAATGATAAAACACCCTTGGCGAGAGACACAAAATAGCGTACGTACTAAAATAATCCATCCACCAATGACAGTCAAGGATTTTCCGAGTAGGAAATGTATACTGAAGGTCAATTAAGCGTTTTTGGCTCGAAAACAGATTTGAAATCCCTGGTGAAGTCTGAGAAGTCATATATGCTGGGAC